GGTCAAGATGCTGGACTTGCATCCTAGCACGATCTCCTGGCTGCTGTATGACCTTGAGCAGGGGAGGGGGACTCAGCCTCTCTGGACCTCAGGGCCCTCATCTACTCAATGGGGGTAGTAAAAATGCCCGCCTCGCAGAGCTGCAAGTGGTGAATGAAATGCTATACATAAAAAAGACTGCCAGGCACAGAGTAGATGATAAATAAACACCAGCTGCTAGAATGAAAGGGAAAAATCATCAGAGTGGTGTTGATTAGAAAAACAGTAAGAGACACTGGTTGCTTTGTTCAATGAGGAATGCCCAGAAATAAAGTTTAAGAAGAGGTCAGTACTTAAGGCCGAATGGCTCGGCAGGCACAGAAGTGGTGAAAAGGCCCCGTGCTCCATTCTCTGTGGTTGGCAGCAGAGAGCCTCTCCTGTCTGAGGCCTGGCCTTCCAGGCCAGCCTGATAAACAGAATGGACTCGAGCTGTGCATTGCTCTCCAACAGGCCTGGCTCTGGCCCAGCTGGGATGAGTATTTCCTTTCCAGCATTCCAAGAGGCACAGCGCTGAAAGATAATTAAAATCAGCAGCCATAGAGAAAACGGGACTGAGGCCTCCCGAGGGTGGAGGAGATGGGGCAACTTGGATTAATAATTACAGACACCCATCTCTGCAGGGCCCAAAGGACAAGTGTCGAGATGCTAGCTGTCAAGTTCGAATGGTGTTTATCTGTCTGGGTGCCTTGTTGCTGACAGGCCTCAAAGGAGCTCTCCGAAGTCATTTTTGGGAGTCTAGTGGACAAACAGCTTGAACTTTACCTTACTTTACCCTGTAACTCCAAGGAGAGTCCAGAAAGGCTCAGTTTTAATGGTCTCTCCCATAGGCCTGTGACATGGGTCATATCATTCCCCCAGCCATCACTGGAAAAGTGGAGAGGCAGAGAAATGAGGCATGTGACCGAGTGTGGCAGGCAGCTGGGGGCCAGAACCTCCCAGACGTGTGCAGCTGTGACTCAGCCCAACATGCCCTGCCACACATGGTCTCTGCAGTGAGGCAGGGGGTGACTTCCATGTCTGTGAGAGGCAAAGAGTGGAGTTGTCATTGATTTCCATCTCTGGGACCTCCAAGGACCAGGTAGCCAAAGACGACAAAGGCCACTGTGCCAACCCACAGCAGAGTCTGAGAATGCTTAGTGCCACAATTAGGACAAATGAGGTTTTCATTCTCATCTGCCTTTTCAACGTCTATCTTACAAGCTCCTGCCCCTCCTAAGGGCACACCTTGGACTACACCTTAGACTGCCAGCAAGCTACTCTAGGCACGAACCAAGCCTCTCTCCTTCCTCCCGGCTCCCATCCGCAAGGGCGGAGCAGAAGCTGCCATCCTTACCCAGGTTGGCATTCTCTCCACAGACACATCTGATTGGTCCAAGATGTGGATGTTGACTCCAAATAAGACTCCATGTTTATTTTCCTGGCTCGTGTTCCAATAACAGCTGTGACTTGGAATTTTAGGGCCATCAGATTGGGAGCAGACAGAGTCTGCAGTGAGAAGTCAGTTCATCCTGAACGCTCACCCCAGATCGCCTCCTCCCTAGCTATGTGTCTGTAGGAGAGCTTCCTGAATTTGTTGATTAGGAATAGCAATGCCTGTCACACGGCTGCTTAGAGGGTTGCATGAGATAATAGATATTAGGAGCCGGATCTAGAGGTTAGCAATAACTAGTGATCCTCTTTCCCTCTTCCTTCCTTAGTTTCTAAAATCAGGCAAGATCAACGCAGCCTGAGCATTGTGATCCCAACCCACTGTCTAAATACTATAATTGCAATTAAGTGGGGAGTTTAATTGAGCCTAAATATAGGTCTCGCCAGCTCACATAAGATATTTTAACCATGGGAACATATTTATATAAAGGTTTTAATACAAATCAGTTGAAGAAATACGTACAGAAGAATGAGAGTATAAATAGTGAAGCACATGCTCAAGTAGCTAGCTATATGTGATATACAAATTTTAGGGCTTCCATGGTGGCTAACCATGCCTATGACTGGTCATGCCAGCCCCCCGCCCCCACCCCGCTTCACCTGTCCAATAAAAAGGCCCTTTGAACAAGGTCAGGAGGACCTATGTTAGCCAGGCTTCTGCCTGAGTGGGTTGTGCTATTACCATGGGCTGCTAGTAGAGTTTGCCTATGATCTTCAGAGAGTTCACGATATCTCACATCTTTTGATTCCGTAGAGCAAAAGAAATTGCTCCAGTATGCTACACAAGCTAGAAAGTCACATAAATAGACAGCAGAGCCTTTGAATGGGAAGGAAAGGTATTTGATCACCAATGCAAGCAAAGGTAGGGCCAGCCAAAGGGGTGGTATCAACCCACAGGTGAAGCCAGTCACAACTGTAGATCCTTATTGCCAGGGGTAACCAGGAAATGTTTTGCTCCTATCAGAGGCTGAGTCTTATAATACAGAAATTATACAGAGCCAATCTGTAAGCCTGATTAATATCTAAACATTGTGAAAAGAAAACCACAGCAAGGAAGGCAACATTCAAGATCACACTGTTAGTAGATGGTGGGGCCAGGGCACCACCTCAGGGAGCGATGGTATCGGAGTCCCTGAGTTACCATTTCTATACTGTTCCCAGTACCTAAGTGGAAAAGAACCATAGAAATAAGCCCTTTGTGACTCCAGGTTTGGCCCCTGGTCCAGCCTAATGCGCGTCACTGTCAAGTATTTTTAGACACCCCAAACCTCAGGCCCCATGCAGACCTACTGAGTTTGAATCTGCCTTTAACAAGATCCCAGTCGTCTTGTGCACCTCTACAAAGCTTGAGCATCCAGCTCTGCATCTGTCTCTCTCCAAGCCCTAGTGCTCCAGCGAATTCCAAGTCAAAATAAGGTTTCCTGGTCACGTGACTTTAGGGCAAAAACAAGACAAACAAAACCAAACAGCTTTTCAATGGAGCTCTCAGAGCCTTTAATAGGGGACATATATATATATTAAGATGTTCTTGCTGGAGATGGAGTTTACACTATTCCTCAGATGTGTTTGACCTTTAGATGTCTCATTTTTTGAGAAGTTTGCAAAATTAATATACTATATAATTCACCTTTAAAAATGATTGATTTAGATCAATGCCTTGTAACACAGTTGTATAAACAGAGTCCAGAGACATTATCAATTTGTCTGAGGTGGCAGCACTTGGGGACCCTGGAGGTGTTATCTGCCCACACAGCCCTGATAAGGACGCATGTGAGGTGGGAGAAATCCGGTGTGTTGCCGATTCTCACACAATTCTTGGTACAAAGCTCTGAACCCCAGACACGTGGGGGCTATTTTCTCATTCACCAAGGAGGTGGTTCTCCAGAAGACATCACCCGAGTGTCCTGCAATTTTACTCACTTCTGACTTTGTCTGCCTGGAGGCAATCCAGATCCCACAGGTGGAGGACAAAGTCCCACAAGAATGCCCTCCTACCTCTGATGCCAGTTGCAAATGGTAGGTTGTCAACTCTACTCATGACCAACTGGCTACAAACCAGAGTTCCTACAATTGCCTCTTGGGATTCAATTAATTTACCACAGAGGTTCACAGAACACAGAAAAACACTTCACATTTACATATTTATTACAAAGGATATTACAAAAGATATAGATGAACAGCCAAGCAGAAGACATGGACAGGTCATGTGGGAAAGGTGTGGAGCTCTGTACCTGCTCAGGGTATGTGGCCTCCAGGCATCACCATGTATTCAGATCTCTGAACCCAGTCCTTTGGGTATCAAAGGAAGCTTCAATATATAAGCATGATTTCTTAAACCTTTGGCAGTTGTGATTGATTTAAACCTTGGTCCCCACCCCTTCCCTAGAGTTGGGGTTGGCTGATGACACTGAAAGCTCCACCCAGCTAATTGCACGGTTGGTTTCCTTGGCAACCAACCTCCATCCTGAGGCTATCCAGGAGCCCACTAAGAATCACATCATTTGAACAAGAGATTCTCCAATCACCCAGAAGATTTCAAGGGACTTAGGAGCTCGGTTTAGACATTGCTATCACTCGGAAATTACAGAGGTGTTAGAAGCTCTGTGCCATAAAGCATTATGCATCTCAAATAGCTACAAGAAAGGTTTTTTTAAGGTTCTCATCACAAAGAAATGATAAATGCATGAGTTGATGGGTAAGCTAACTACTTTGATTTGATTAATATGCAACGCATACAGGTACTTGAAACATCAACTTGTAGCTCATAATATGTTACTTATAAAGTGTCAAAAAAAAAGACAAATAGAAATTTCTCCTAGCACAAGAAGTTTTAGGAGGGTTTTTCAATGGTTTTAGAACCCTTATGCCCAAAACAGTATCGCTGGATCCAGATGCCTCATCCAAAATGACGTACCAGCCATAGGGAAGATGTGCCTGGGTGACATGGAAAAGGCAGCCCAGAGCTGGGGACACTGTTTCCCCAGGAGATGCCGGCAGCTGACCCCACGTAAATGGTGGCTGGAGCTTCATCATGAAGAACTTGATAGAGCGCCCCCCAGACACAGGCAATAGAAAGGCCTCGAACACATCCCTCCCTCCCGCACATGTCTGTACTATGCATGATTGCTTAAAATCATAGTATAAATGTCTTAAACTATTGCCAGTATTTATTTCCAATGTGGTGGAATGACGTGATACTTTCTTGGTTACCCCTTACTTTGATATTTGCCTTGTTTCATAATAACAATTGTCATGAGAAATAATGAATTTCAGAATTCTGTGTAAATATTTGTAGCACACTAGATACCTCTGCTTTTAGGATGAAATAAGTCATTTGGAGAAAGACTTTTAAATTATTACAAATTATTTTCTAGGTCCAGTGACAGCTCCCTTAGTTCTGAGGTTACACATCGCCTGCCCAACCAGAAGCCTTTGGGTGCCTTCTTGGCTTTGCCATCTGGGGCCCCCCATCTTTCTCTCCACCCTCCCCATGCCCTAGTTGGCTGTCAGGTATAGTCACATCAGAGGCTTACTTGATTCTCCCTCTCTCTCCACCATGAAGTAGACATCTGCCTCCAGTTTGTAGGATCCATTTCTCCTTTATCAAATTGTCTTCAGTGCAGGAGAGAACAGCAACTCCAAAATCTGACTGGATTGCAGAAAACTTTTTGTTTTATAGCAGAAAGTGCTCATCCCAGGCTGCCTTGATGGGACGTAATGAGCAGCCAGCCTCAGAGAGTACACCAAGAGAAGAAACTTCTGGAAAATAAACCACAGGTGACCTCGGTGTATAGGATTCACATCCTCTGGGTGGGGCCTCCCGGGTGCTGTACCTGCCTGAGTTTGTGGGCTCCCGTGGGTGTGTGTGGACCACCAGTGTTCAAAAGGCACAGCTTTGACACAAGACACAGTCCCTAAATGAAACTATCACTCCAAATCATGGCAGACTCTGCTGCTGATGGAAAAGCCAGCTGGTGGGCCCTAATGTGAGACTATTTCTCAGAATCTCTAGCCTTGTACCACTAACCGGGTACCACAGCAGGCACTGGTATGTGCTCCCCATGTGTAAGAGTTGTAAACACCCCAAAATCTGTTGGGACCAGTTCCCAGGTCCTTCTTGATTTACTGCCAAAATTCATTTATCCCCTACTCACCAAGTTCCAGACCCTTGATGTCACCCACCTGAGTCGAACCGAAGACCACCAGAATTTGGAGAGTTCTTTTAGTCCTTTAATGGCCAAAAGGACTTGAGGGCCTGGTGTTGACTGGAAAAGGCCTTGCCTTTCCATAGAACTCGGCACAAAGGACCTTCGTGTTTACAGGAATCTGAAGTATGAAATCACTGGCCAGGGTCAGCAGCCTCTGTGTGTCTGCGAAGTGGCAGAGCTTAACTCCTAAGTGAGATCACTGGTGCTGACAGCTGGGAGCCAGGGCTTCAAGGCCATTGCTGTACAGGAGTTAATGGTCCTGGTGCAGAAGTCCTTCCCAAGGGGGATGGGGATTCCAATCTGCAGACACCCACCCAATCTGCAGTGGCTGGGCGCTCAGAGGGCTCCTGTGGTGTCTGAGCCATCACAGGCACCCGGTGAGATTATCAGCTCAAACTGAGTGCTTCTGAAGTGTGGATAGAGGGCAGAGGGAGATAAGCTGCCCTGGACTTCCTGCCAGGCAGCTCAGAGCCCAGAGGAGCCTGGGAGTCCTGGGACAGTGTGCATCCACCCTGTAATGGTCTCAGCATGCTGGGTTGAGTTTTGGAATCCAAAAGACTGGTCTGCTTGCTACACACGTGGCTGTAGGCAGATCACTTCATCCTTTTGAGCGTCAATGTTTGCATCCGTAAAATGGGATTTTCTTCCCTGCCATACGCATTCCACAGAGTCTTCTGGACTTTAAATAGATCATCATATGAAGCAGCTAGCCAGGCACTACCTAGAGTACATAGGAAACAGTAAGCATCGCCTGTCTTTCTCTTGTTTCTTTCCTTCTTTAGACTCCCATTCTTCTCCCCTAAGCTGATGGGAAGCGACTTAGTTCCATCATTCTTCTCAGAGCCTGGAAGGTAACCGGCCATCTCAAGGTCCCTAGAAGCAGGCAGCACTGGTTTAGGAAGCCAGGAGCAGGCTATGGGCTGGGCTAGTGTCGGATGTGCTGGGGACTCACAGGGAGAGGAGGGAAGAGGGAGGAGAGAGGCGGGAGCTGTACTTCATTTGCAGAGCTGCTCCAGGCAAATAACATCCTTAAATACTACGGACGTGATAAAGTCAAACAGCCTGGCTCAGGCATAAAATTTTTGTTCTGTTTTCGAATCCAAAATTGATTAGCTTGTCAGTCCAGTCCTTTCTGCCCTTGACGTTCCAGCTCTCAGCGAGACCAGGTTTGCCAGGGTCGAGTTGTAATTTCCTGAGCTCCAGCAATGTACGCTTGGGAGGATGCTCAAGGCTGCGGAAGGCCAGGTGCGGAAGGTTCCGCATGGCAGAAAGTGAGCCTCCTAAACACTCCTCTGTTACCCTCACAGATTTAGCTCTCTTTCCTGCTCAGGGTGTGCATGGGCACACTCACACCTGCCACACCCTGTAGGCTGTGTGTCTGCAGGAGCCTCCCAGGCTTCACACGCAAGCATTTCCATGCTGTCAGCAGAGGAGGCGGCACAACAAAGTGAACCTGAGAGATCAGGCAGTTAGTCCAGTTCTTCAGGTTTTCAGCTACTTCCACCTAAAATACACAGATAAGGTGGGGGTGGCTGGTCCATTCTGCTCACATCGCCCAATTAATGACCTCAATGTTTCTGCCACCTTTGTGTGTATAAGGCATAGCACTGATACTAGCCAGGTCAAAGGAGATGGGTACTAACCGAGCCCACAAAGACAGAGTTTCCTGGTACCTGTGGGTGGCACGCTGCATCACAATGTTATTTAAGCAACAAGTATTTATTGTGCTGGGTGCTGGGGACACAATGATGACTAAGCAAACACAGTATTTGCCCCGGGAAGACATTTATTCTGATAAAGGAAAAAGACAAAGTAAATAAATACAATGAAAAAACATTATAGTAAAGAACACAGTGAGTCAAAGACTTCTTTCTATGCTTTTGGAAGCAATTTTTGCTAATTGTGCACAAAAGTAATTAACACTAGTGGGCGGAGTCAGGCTGCCTGAGATGGTTCCCTTTCCCAGCATGCCTCTAACACAGCCATGGGCCCCTTCCCCAATGAAGAAGACAGTGTGAAAGAAACAGATGTGCAGGGGAATCACGACTCAGGCATGAGAAGCCCTGAGCCTGTGGCCTCCAATATTTGCATGATCTTGAGCAGGAAGGCACTTTATTTTATTTAAATTTTTTTTTATTTTAAAAAGCAAAATAGAAAAAAAGGATAGAAATGATACAGAATTTCAAAAAAGAAAAAAGTAAGGAATTAATGCTAGTTAATATATTGCATATTGTTATCTTCAAACTAGTTCAGGTCACAAAATCTAGACACAAAAGTGATCAATCAAATAATGACAATATAAGCTGTATTGTCATTGTTATCTATAGTTATCTAGTATATACATATATGCAGACAGTTATATATGTTTACCAACATACATATAACCTTTTCCTTTCTTCCTCTTTCCTTTCCCCTTCCCAGCAGTTCTGTCCTTTTGAACACTTTCTTTCTTTCCCATTTATTACTCAGCTATAAAAATGGTTAATCTTGAGGTAAATGGATGCAACTTGAGACTCTTGTAATCCACAAACGGGCCCCCCAGAGCCCCCAACCTCGGGCCCAAAAAATGGGGCAAGACATGTTTTTTAAAAAGCAGTGCTGATTTATTTTATCCTGGGTCCAGCGACACAGTGCAGTTGGAGTTTACAAAAGCTGTGTGTCTCCCTCAAAACTTTCCAGACTTTTTGTAGAAAGCACGGTTTACAAAGTAAGGGGTTATGTGTGTGGATCAGGAAATCTGCTAAGGAATGCGGAAGACCTTTGTTTCCCTCTGCAGAGGACAGAGAAGTCTAGCAGGGATTAACAATCTTTGTCAATTTATTTTAGCAGGACATCTGTTATTTGTAGAGGGCAGCAATGGTTAACATATCAATTAGGTCAGGTTCCCAGAGATTTACAATTTTTTACAGAGGGGAGCGTTGATTAACATATCAATTAGGTCACCCAGAAAAAAAAGATGCATACAAAACAGTATAGCAGGTTTACAGGTACTTTGGTCATATAACTTAGGGATAACAAAAACATAATGAAGCTCTTTTTGCTAGTATACAGCAGAGACCATACTCCTAAGTGAAATAAATCAAATTCACATTTATAAATACCATATTGTCTTCCTAGCATCAAAATAAAAATCTGAAAGAGTAATAAGATCCAAAATAACACTAGATGTTGTAATAATGAAAGGAAAAGAAAGCAAGGCACTTTAGCTTCATTTTCCCCATCTATAAAATGGGCACTGTATCAGCTCAGCGGGTTCTTATGAGAACCAAGGAGAACATGGGTAAAAATACTCTGCAAACAGTAAAACATGAAGAACCTAAAAGAAGGTAATAAAGGTTCTTTGCAGAGAAATTTAATGAATCCAAGGAGGAAAGTGAATCCCCTTCCCCTAATTAAAAAAAAAAAAACAAGAAGGTAAGAGTGTCGGAAAGAAGAGAGGGGAAGGGAATCAGACAAAGAGGGGAAGAAAGAGGAAGCAGGGTGGGAGAGGACAAGAGAGAGGGGAGGGGAGGGGAAAGGAGAAGGAAAAGATGGCCCACCAGGATGAGGGGCTGGGAGGCAGGAGAGGACGGACAGTGAGGTGAAGACGCACACGCAGGTCCTATGCGCTCTCACCACTGGACAGTGGAAGATGTCAGCAGGTTCCAAAGCCTTTCCCATCATTCCCGCAGCCCCAGGTCAAGCAGTGGAGACAGCTGACCCAGGGCATCCCTTCCTATGGCAGCCAGGACTCACACTGGGCAAAGATAGTGTCTCCAAGAAGCAAAAGAGAGGAAGAGGTGGCCACTGTACAAGTACTATGATCACGAAGCACCACTGACCAGATACAGCTTTAAACAACTTTTCTCTCGACTTCAATAATTACAGTACAGAAACCAAAGCACCTGCTGTCATGTGAACACTTGCTGTACGCCAAGCAGTGTGGTAAGGATTTCACCTCCTCAGCCACATTTAACCCCCACGGCAACCTCATAGGCAGATAAGGAAACTGAGGCAGGGGAGGCTAAGGAACTCACATGGCTGACCTGTGGGGATCCGGGGCTTTGTGTGTACACCTCCAAAGCATGTCTTTTCCCTCCATATCGTAAGAAAACCAGTAGAGAGTTTGCAGCTCTGTTTTTTTCATTTTTTAAGAGTATACATTTGTCATACATCATGAAGAATTCAGATCTTAATCCTTTTTTTCCCCACTCGCCTCTCCTTCCTGCAACCCTTCTTCCCCTCTCCATTTACAAAAGCTGTTTCCATTTTTTCCCTCAGTTCTCTTTTAAAATCCCTTTACCTCTTTCCCTTCCCTTTGTTCCCTCCCCATTCCCTTTCCCATTTGAATGAGTCTTACTTCTGAATACTCAGCGCCCATCTTGCTCCTGATTTATACTTCAAGTTTCTCATTCAAGAGAAACAGTGCAGTATTTAAACATATGTGTCTTATTTATTTCACATGACATTATTGTCTTGAGGTGCATCCATTTATTAAAAATGTCTCAAGTTTACCCTTCTCTATGGTGGAGCAGTACTCCATCGTACATGCATTCCACATTTTCTTTATCCATTCTTCTGTTGATAGGCATATGGGCTGTTTCCAGGACTTAGCTATTATAAATATGGGTGTGGATGTACCATTATGGTACAATGACTTTATCTCTTTCAGGAAAGTACCTATAAGAGGAACAGTAGGGTCTAATGGAACCTCTAGTTTTAATTTTTTGGAGGAATCTCAAAACACTGATTTTCATAGTGGTTACACCAGTTGACACTCCCACCAACAACAGAAGAGGGTTCTCTTTTCCTCAGCATCTGGCCAGCGTATGCTATTGGTTAATTTCTCGATGATAGTCATTCTTTCTGGGTGAGATGGAACCTCAGTGTTATTTTAATTTGCATTTCTCAAATGACCAGTAATGCTGAACTTCTTTTATGTATTTCATCTGAGAAGTGTCTGTTCATTTCAGATGCCTGTTTTGGACCGGGTCTTTAAGTTTGGGGAAGAAGTCTAAATTTCATGAATTATTTATGGCTTCTAAATATTAGTCTTTGTCTGAGAAGTAGCTGAAAAATTTTTTTCCCAATCCATGGGGAAAGACTATGATTTCCTTTGCTGTGCAGGAGCTTCTTAATTTGATGTGATCCCAGTTGTTAGTTCTTTGTAATATTTCCTGTGTGATTGGGGTTTTGTTTGTAAAGTCTTTACCTACACAAGTCTTTGACTTCTCTCTTCCAGCAGATTAAGTGTCTTTATTTTAATATCTAGATCTTCGACCCACTTTGATTTTAGATGAGAGATATATGATTCATGATGAGAGATATATGATTCACTTTTTCACACACGGAAGCCAGTTTTCCCATGATGGTCTAAATTTGACACTTTCGATTTCCAAATAATAAATATCACCTTAGGGAATGCTATAGGCGATTCTTTTTAAAGGAAGAGGTGAAATTATGGAACTTCAGGGAATTAGACAAATTATTAACCAATATTCCTTCCGTGGATGAAAATAACAAAGATGACATAAAGTTTAGGTGACTTGACCCAGTCACATAATTGGGTAGTGACCACAATGTGCCAAAGGACAAAGGAACCTCTAGCCAGGTTTATGGTGAGCATCTGTAGTACCAGCTACTCAGGAGACTGAGACAGGAGGATCACAATTTCCGGGTCAGTCTGGGAAACTTGTGATACCCTATCTCAAAATAAAATTTAAAAAGGGCTGGAGATGTGGCTCAGTGGTACAGTGTTTTCCTGACATGCATGAGGCCCTGAGTCCAGTTCTTAGTCCTGCAAATAATAGTAGAATAATAAAATCAGCCCAAAGTCCTCCAAAAAAAAAGGAAGAATGTCTCAAAATGTAGGTGTCATTTGCTAGTAGTAGATCATCCAGCTCACTAAATAAGCCATAATTATATGTGTCAAGGAAATGAAGTAGGATAAA